AATAACTTGAAGGTACAAAACTATGTTGACGCTGATATGTCGACTAAAAGTGTTGCTCTTAAGAAACTGAAGTTGTGCTTGACTTCAGTTGATCTTCTAGCTTGAAGGCAGGAGCTTTAAGTTGCAGGGCGGAGGACATCACGTTGAAGGAAAAGACGACACAACCAGTGGGAGATACAGTCAATGTCCCAGTCTCTAAATGGGAGAATTGTTGAGATTGGTGGAGCCCGGTCACCTGATGCTTAAGGCAGCAAATTAATTATTTCTTAATTAGATTCCTTCCCTAAATATCTTTTATAGCTTTTCTCTTGTAAATCCTGCCTCCTCTCCTTCCGAATTTGGACTCCCGCCAACTCTGATTTCCTTTGATGAGGGTTCCACCATGCACTAAATGTTGCAGAAGAATATTGGATATAAAGACCCTCTAGCAAACAAACTCCAATATGCTTCTTCCAAGCAGAATAGAAATTCTTAGCTATTTGCTTCAGGTGTGAGACACGAGAACAATAGGTGCAGGTGTTCGGTTCTCCAAAAGGCTTCCTCTCATGAGAGTGGCTTACGAATAAAAGGAAAAAAAGGGAATGCAACAACAAGTTTTTCTTTATTCTTCTTCTTCCCTGTCTTAAGGTGGAGAGAGGGAGATTGAGAGGAGAGAGATAAATTATTCTTGTAATCGTTGAGGCGATCAACAGTGTATTCCTCGAATAATAAAATCCTCTGCAGCTTCGTGGACGTACGCAATTTGTCAAACCATGTAAATTTGTGTGTTTCACTGTGTTTATGTTTTGCAATTTTCTCGTTCTAATTTTTGTTTTATTGTTGTTTTCTTTTCACAACAATTGGTATCAAAGCCTTAATTTGGATTTGAAGAAAGCGATGGTTGGAGATGAAGTAATGACATCAGAGATCGAGAAATTTAATAGCATAGATTTTTTTTACTAGAAGATGCAGATAGAGAACTATCTCTATGAGAAAAAACATCATCTTCCGTTACTGGAAAAACGATCGGAGAAAATGGATGAAGCTAATTAGAATATGTTGGATCGACAGGTTATGAGTGTTGTTCGATTAACTCTGTCGAGATATGTTGCCCACAAAGTCATCATGGAAATGATTACTACAAATCTTATGACAACTTTATCAGGTATGCATGAAAAGTCATCGACGATTAAAAAATATGATTGATGAAAAAATTATTCAACTTAAAGATGGCGGAATGTGTATTTGTTGTTCAACATCTGAATGATTTCAATACCATCACAAATCAATTGTCGTCTGTTAAAATTGATTTTGGCGATAAGATACGTATATTGATATTGTTTGTTTCATTGTTAAATAGATGAAAAGCCATGATGATGACAGTTAGCAATTTTACAGGTAAATCTAAATTGAAATATAATTATATTTATGATTTGATTTTGGTTGAGGATGTGCGCAGAAAAGATTCTGGAGAGATCTTGGGTTCGAGTTCGGTAGTAAATGTTGATTCCAGAGAAAGAATAGAGGACAGGGACTTAAACAAATGAAGATCGAAATAAAAGCATGCGAGAAAGAGCAATTTAAAATCTGGCAAGCAAGCAGTTTGTTGTAATTGTGGCAAAATTGGTCACATAAAAAAGAACTGCAGAAATCTCAAAAAAAATGAGAATGATAGCGCTAATGTTGTAACTAAAGAAGTACAGAATGCGTTATTGCTGACAGTTCACAGTTCTGTTGATGACTAAATATGAGATTCAGGGGCTTCCTTCCATACATCTTACCACCAGAAGTTGATGTGAAACTATGTTGCAGGTGATTTTGGGAAGATATATCTGACTGATGGGAAAGCTCTAAACATAATGGGGATGAAAGGAGTTGATATTGCACTCCCTAAGAAGAGCAAATGAACTTTACAAAAGGTCAGGCACATTCCTGAGTTGAAGATAAACCTCATTTCTGTTGGACAGCTCAACGAGGGTGGACATTCAGTAGTGTTCTCAGATAGCACCTAAAAGATTACCAAAAAAACATTAGTATTGACTTGAGTTAAGAAAACTTTTACACTGTATATGACTACAAGTTTAATTGATAATGTTGATACTATAGTTGCAGAGAACACAGCAAAAATGTAGCATTGCAGGCATAGACACATAAGTCAGAGAAATATGAAAGAACTTCAGTCCAGAGACAAGTTAGTAGAACTGAAGTCAGTTGATCTCGACATGTGTGAGAGTTGCATTATGGGGAAACAGAAATAAGTCAGTTTCTTGAAAATTGGCGTAGCGTCAAAGACAAGAAAACTAGATCTTGTACACAGAGATGTGTGGGGACCTTCTCTAGTAATATCTCTTGGAAGCTTTCGTTATTATGTCACAATCATTGATGACCACAGTAAAAATGTAAGATTTGTTGATCTACCAGAGGTCACAGTGCAGGACAATGATGGAAGTGATGAGAAGAATGGGTCTGGGGCACCCATTCATATTGTTCCGCAATCAGCTGCAGAGTCGTCCACCCATACAACTACAGTTCTCAGGTCAGTCGGGAACAGACGTTCTCCACAGCGTTTCTCACCAACCTTGAATCACATTCTGATGACAAATGGTGGAGAACCTCAAAGCTATTAAGAAATCTGGTAAGTTGAAAATTCGTGCAATTGGGAGCTGACTAGGAAAAAGAAGAAGCTGAAATTGTGCTCGACTTCAACTGGTCTTCTAGCTTGAAGAGGGGTCATGAGTTGCAGGGATGGAGGATACCACGTTTGAGGAAAAGAACGATGTAGCCAGTGTTCCGGTCTCCAAGTACGAGAATTGTTGGGTAACGTGGAGCCCGGCTCACTTCATCCATGTTTGGATTGTTCTTATATCATTGGCAATATATTAAATGTTTTAACATTTTTCTTTGTTGGATTCCTTACCGCTCCTTCCTAAAAAGGATCCTGCCTCCTCTGATTTGTTGTTCAGGATCCCGCCCGATTACTGTTTCTCCCGCCTCCCTCTTCACGAATTAAAAGGATCTTTTTAGTTGTGACGTAGGAGAGGAGTAAGAAGGCCAAACAAATAAGGGAATCGTAAGGTTTTTTTGGTTTTGACTCTCATTATTACATGCTTCGGCGTGAGGCTTACGAGTGTAAGCAAAATCGCAAGTGTATGCTCTCCCTTTGTTTCTCTTCTGCGATTGGCTCCTTGGGTGCTTCTTCGGCGTGAGATCTGACAAAAGAAGGGAAAAGGGTGAGGCCTCCTGAATCGAAAGGTGGTTGCTTGCCCTTTTGGTTTCCGCATTTTGATTCTTCGGCAGTGTTGTCGTACGGGAAGAAGGAATTGTATACAGTAGCTTTCCTTGGCTTCTTGCAAGGCTAACGAAAGACGTGAGAAGATATAAGGGTTAGCCACTCTTCCAGGTTATTCCTTTTCGGTTTCCTGTAGCCCTCGGTTAGCGAGAGTTCGAGAAATAGAGAATGAGAGGAGAGAAAATCTTGTAAGTCGACATGGTCGACGATGTAATCCTCAAGCTAATAAAATTCTCTACAAATTCGTGGACATATGCAATTTGTCGAACCACGTAAATCTGTGTGTTTCAGCTGTGTTTTTGTTTCGTGAATTTCTCGTTCTAAATTTTCACTTTATTACGGTCGGCTTCACAACAATTGTAAAAATGAGATATTGGCCTTAAGGGAAAGACACCAATTTGGTACAAGAGCCAGGTTGTGAAAACGACGGCATAAAGCTCATTGATCTCAAGAGATGGCTAATTAAGAATCACTTTATAGTGTTGAAAGACTCACCAGCTGTAACTGAAAGAAAGTTGAATTAACAACCAAAGAAAAGCTACCTCCTTTTCTCTCATTACTCCATTAAAGAGCAAATTACATAACTGTATTTTCATCCCAATTGAGAAAGTAACAACTAAGAAATTAAATTAAGAAAGCAATAAATATTATTGTCCCATCAAATTAAGAAAACAATAACTAGAAATTCAAATTCCGAAAGCAATATATCTAACATAATAAAATACAGAATATAAGTAATTAACTTCCAAAAATGCTAACTTTTCAAAACTCCTTTATGATTGCACGGATTATGGAATTAAATTATCACCCTTACGGATTTGTCTTTGCGTTGATATTCATCTCCATATTTTCTTCCGGATTTGCATCAATTCCTCCCTAACCGAGAGCTACAGGCTGTTTTAGTGTGTTTTTCTTGCTCGCTATATTGCCAAAGTAGAATGTTGACTAAATAAATGATCAAGGTGAGAGATTTTCACAGACAACAAATTGTTGGCCTCAAATAATGTTGCTCAACTATTCAAGGAAAGTAGATCTAGGAATATAATTCGTAGGAATCATTTCTACATTAAGCAACCAAAAAATAGGGTTCGGAATAACTCAAGTTGATCCAAGTTCGGCTCAAAGCAATTTGTACTAAGCCACAGGTTAGCTTGAGCCAATCTCAATTTGAGTAAGCATGTCGTGCTCATTAATTTCAAACTGAAAATGCATCAACTTGATTTCTGTTTCAGCTCAACCAAAGGCAAAAAAACTATCCTTATTCTGTCCACTGCGAAGGAGTTTTCCAATGGTTGAGTCAGCTTTCCTTCCCCACCTTTCCTAAGGCTGAATTTAGAATGTAACTAGATCTTACCCCACATCCACTCAGCCAATTCAGCCTACGGAAGAGAGTTAATAAAACATACTCCCTCCCAGACTAAACCATTCTCCACTTCACCAAACAAACTAAATTGAGAATCATAAATACTTTCCGGAGAACAACACTCTCGAGGCAATTCAAACATTTTCTTGGCTTTTATGTGTAAAATGCAGTTTAAAGAAGTTAATAATCCTGAATCTGGTATTTTCAGCAGATCTCTTCTCTCTTCAAATTAACCTTTGTTACTATAATTCATTAAAGGCAATCCTTCCAAATGGGACCAAAGCAAACATTCGAACCGGAAAATGTACCATAAAATACAATCAAATGCTTCGTAGTAAGGTTGAGTATATAAGTCTAAAAAAATCATACCTTCACGGTGGTTGAAAGCTATTTGCCGATCGTGGAAGTGTGGGATGGCGTCCCCGCCATCAAGAGAAGCGGCGTCGGGCTTTGGAATAGATTCGGCTGCCTCCTTCCTCTTCTTGTTTCGAGCCCTCGGCATCCTCAAGGAAAATCGAGGCCAGCGACAGTGGGGAGAATAGCTCCGCTGTCTGGTAACGGATTTAGAGCCGGATTTAACCTAAATCTTCCCAGATGGCCGGTTTGGACAAAATAAATCCGCGAATGCGATAAATCCGCAGTTCACGGATTTCGGCCGTAAATCCCAGATGGTTTCGGGTAGGGGCGGAGCGAAACGAAGAGAAAGATTGGAGTTTCGGGTCTCAGTACGTCGCAATCCAGTTGTTGCCTTCCCAGTTAGCTCTAATCGGATTGTATCGCGAGGGTTCAGACACAAAAGCAATAGTTTTGGCGAAACGAGTAGGGTGAGGGACATGAGCTAGAGTTTTGAGCAGAGAGGGGAAGAGTCTGAGAAAAACCGGTAGAGGGATAGTGATGCAGGCGAGGGTTGCGGCAGAGAAGGGAAGGACGCCTCGACGACGAGAGGGAAGGTTTTGAAAATTTGAAATCTGATTTTTTAAGAATACCCTGTTTTCTTTCTATTTTTTTATTTCAAATTTTAAAATATTACCTCTTTACTTCTAATTACATATACAGCGCTCAAATATTACTATTTACAAAACTAGCACACGTGTTTTAAAATTAGAAATTTTTAAAATTTTATTTTCTTAAATAAAATTGAAAAAATTATTTTTTAAAATGGATAAAATAGACACGTGACAGGAGAATTTTTGCCACATGTAAAACAGAACGTTGTGATTTCTCCAAAGATTAGCTCACTATGTCATTAAGCGAATGATTATCAAATCATCAAAGCATCATGACACAAATGTCTGATATGATACAAGATTGCATGATATATGTCGGAAGAAAACATGGCACAATAATAGCATTACATTATTTAGATACCTCATAAAACCACAAGTACTATCAAAATTTGTTTCAAGTTAAAAAAACTACATAAGCTAATAATGCCATATTATGAAAGTATTAGCCATGAGAGATGGCCTTCATGAAACAATGCAACACCACCAACACAAGAAGAGAAAAAAACATAGCACATACTTCACAAAAATGTATGTAATCCAACTGCTGCAATTTAATCATCTTGGCTAAAAAATATGACTTGCATTGAATAGATCAAACCAAATTACAAACGTTAAAGGAATTAAAAAAATTTTTGGAAGAATTCCTTATTTTCAAGAATTGATCACCACAAAAAATTTCTTTTTTTGCTTGATTACAAAACACACTCTCTCACTCGAACATAAATAAGTGAAAAATTCGCTCACTATCACTTCCTCACACTCACCAGTAACTTTCCACTCCCTATAAGTTTCCAGATGGCTTTTTAGTGTCCCCAAAAACTACCAATTTTACATTTTTAATACATTCATTCGACAAAACAATTAGCAAACCACAAAGCCACCCTATATTGGTGGGGTGTGTCAAGGCACTCGGGATGCAACATCGGGGTGCTACCTATGAGTGCAGTAACAGTGGGTTTGGTTGCCACATTTTGTGCCTCCTACTTTTCGTATTTGGGCATCGAGCGTGCTTTTGTGAGCACTGTGGTGCTGGTCTCTAGGCACGTTAGCGTTGACTTTACACATCATGATGTCCTGATGAGGCTCCATGTATATGGCACTGCAATGCTCTCAATCTACCACCAGAGTGATTCCTTCAAACACTTGAATGTCAGTTCATAATTCGTTCAAATTTTTTGCAAGTGTTAAATTTTTTCATGTATATTGCATATATACACACAAAATATACTGAAAAAGAGCATAAAATTATTACAAAAAATATAATAAAATATTATACACAACATCACATTTTCTATATATCATAGAATTTTCAAAATAAAACTTTTGAGGAAATACTTATACGGAAGCCCTAAATTTTTTCTAACCATGGGAGCATCCTTAGTTGAATAAAAAAAAGATGCAAATGAAGTGTTTAGGGTTCAAATTACGATTTATTTATTTTTCCTCTCCCTCTTTTAGATGTTTTGTCATGTAAAGAATATTAGTTTGTGTAATGAGTTAGAGTTGAGGATGAATGAAAATTATTGAAATTTATTTCCTTATTGAAGTCAAAGCTTGGTAGCTCTTAGGTTTAGGTTTGTTTGAGTGGTTGTTTCATTTGAAGTAACTTGATAGCTTTTCTCTTATAAAATCATTATTCAAATTATTTTAAGCATGCCAAATTAAACAATCAAGGTGTTATCTCCTTGACCCGACCATCCACGCTTTATCTATATGAATTTCTTCTATAAAATAACTCCTCAATTTGACACTTAATTTATATATGTAGTGGGATTTATTCCATAATGTGGACAGTTGAAAACTTGGAAACATAGAACAAAATCGAAAACATGTTAAATGATTCTAACAAAAGTTGTTCCTTAAGTTGTTCATTCGTTTCAACATTATTAAATCTAAGGAGAGGTATGACCACATTAGGTATGTGAATTTCATTAAAATTTGGAGTGATTTTATTTGCATGTAAAAGGTGAATGTTAGTTTGATCAAAAATCTCATTTCTTAAAATTTTAATCCTATAACTTATATTTCTATACTTAAGAAACAAGACAAATTAAAATGACTATTAGAATTTTGAGTCCCTATCATAATCAGTTGAAGTTTGGTTTGTTTCTTGATAGTTTGTGTCATCAAAAGATCAAAATTTGACTTATGAGGTAATATAAGTGACACATTTTTAGAGACTTTACATCATAAATTTATAGGTTCTGCTATTGTGCTTAAAAATATAAATGTTCTTTCTATCGCAATATTTTTCAATTAAGTTATATAATTAAATTCATGCTAACAAAATATGGACAATATCTGTAGGGTGGACATCAAATTAAATTTTATCTTTATAACTATCAATCTTGTTTGGAACTAAAAAGTCTACTTGAGATGGAAACACATGCATAGTTAACCAAATTAACACGAAAGGGTTATAAGTAAGGTTCAATTTGTCATTGTTGTAATCTTATTAGTTGAAAAACATTCATTATACTTCCTTGTTTAAGACAAACATGCACTTCCTCTCATTATACATAATATACATGTTAAAAGTTTTTCTCTTTATCTAGTCATTTGCATCATTCTTAAATACTATAGGAGCTTCTCATAATATTACTGTATCTTTTATCTACATAATCAACTTTACATCAAATAATGAGGTGTCATCATAAACATTTTTAAGATTTTGATTTGTGAGGTCCTATGTTTTCTTAAAAAATAAGAATTGAATATTGCATTAATTTTGAGTATGAAATTTCTCATGACATTGATCTAAATTGGATCTTTATAAGTACTAAGCATGATTGAAATTAAAAAATCTACTTACGATGGAAATAAGGGTATATTTGATAAAATAAATATGAAGTTGTTTTGAGTATCGTCTAGTTTGTAGGTTAGCTCTTGTAATCTTTTGAATTGAAAGAAGAATCATTGCACTTCCCCATTCATAACTAGCATGCACTTCCTCTCATTATACATAATATACATGCTAAAAATATTCCTACTTTTTTAATATTTTGCTTCATCATTAGCTACTATCAAACATATCATAATATATTGTGAAGGTTATCTATATAATCCATTATTTATCATATAATGACAAGTCATTGTAAATTTCTTCAAGATTTTTAATTATGAGGTCCTATTTTTTATTAAATATAAGATTTATAATTTCCCTTAATTTTGAGTATGAACTTTCTTATGACATTTGAAGTAGATTATATACTCAATATTTTACTGTGCTCTTTAATAGGAGCATTAGTTAAAAGGGTTAAGTCGGTTGGTGGGGTGGGCCTAGTGGTAGACTTATGTCTTACAATGAGTACAATGAGAGGGGGCATAATTCATTAATCTAAAGAAGAAACTAAGTTTTCTTATCTATTATTCAGCTAGTGAGCTTAATAAAAACATCTTTTTAGATAAGTTGATTAAACAAATCAACCTTATTTCTAAGGTCACTCATAAGTTCAATGATAAATTTATTAGCTAATTATCAATTATTTTTAGTATAACCAGTTTTAAAAATGAGTTCTTAGAAAATATTTAAATTTAAAATTATAAGACGGCTGCCCAATCTTAAAGTTCAAATTTGACCATATGATTTCTTATCATGAGGCCTACAATAATATCTAGTTTTAATTATTTTCTTCAACTATATATAGGTTTGCTTAGTTCCACTTATTCATTATTTTTTTTAGCTAAATGAACTGTTTAATAAAATTTAGCATGTTCATCTTATTTGATCTTGTAATAAATTCTCTTAGGTAATCATTCTATATTTGCCTATTACAGAATTTATCCATATAAACAAACAAATCTAAGAGTTCTTTTAGCGATGTCATCATAAGTGGGTGCTATAATTTTAAGTTTTTTGAGAAAGATCATTAAAATCATCATCATTTCTATATTAGTTGTTAGTTTTTGCTATACTTTTCTGAGTGGATTGTACATTGTTCTTCCACTTTATCTAAGTAAAATTTCTCTTCATCTAGATTATAGATGATATAAGAAGCAAAGTAGATTTTTATTATTTTATAATTGATTTATTAAATATTACAATTATCATTAATGTTCATATATTTTGGCATCATTCTTATTAAAATATTTATCTAGTCTCACAACATTCTAATAGATTTTTTTGGGGTCTTTCTGTAAATTGCGTACGTCAAAATAGAATCGGATCGAGACACCTTGAGTTGAATATCCACGTGAGAATACCTACATAAGCTACCCAAATAACTAAAGAACTAAATTTGTATTTGTCTTGAGTCCAAGAGCACTCCCAAATGGATGTTTCTAATTTGGTTAATTGTATATTGGGAGATGTCCAAGAATGCTCTCGATTAAAGTTATTTTGCTTACATTTAAGTGATGACTAATTAGAGGGGGTAACAGAGGATAGTTATCTTATAGGAGCATCTCGGTGCCTTCAAAGCTCTCGCAAAGCTACAAGACAGATATTGAGTCACTTGTTATCCCAAATGGGTAACAACTCATTAGCAAACGAGACCTATGAAATAATTGGGTCACTCCATATGGTCCGCACTATGCTTTCAAGCCTAAGCAAGCCATAAAGGTAGAGAGGGTGAATCACCGTATACCAAACGAGCGGTCGGCCTCACCATAGTCTAGGTCTACGAGACGACATCAACGAAGCATCTAAGGAACGAAATGACTCAAAGTGGGTAATCAAAGGAAGTGTGGAGTAATCCTAATTGGCTAGAGATTGTTGGGTTGGGATACCACAAATTTGTCATCACAAGCTACTAGAACCCTATGTCTACTTGGTCATAAAGGTTGCAACATAACCAGAGATCCCTTGTTAGCAATTCATAAATTGCATCGTACAAGGGGATCTAGGTAGCCTTAAGGTTAAGAGAAAGAAACACTAAATCATATGACCTTATTGAGGTATAAAGTAAAAGAGAGACTTATAC